GTGGAGATCAGATGTTATGACGTGTTGAGAATTGAACTTAAAGCCTTACACATACTATACATGTGCTCTGCCGCTTGAGTTATCTCCCCTGCATCACATTATCTATTTGAGATTAACTTCTCATGTTGTGTGTATACTTTAGTTGTTCACTGACTTTAATGTTTAATTGTATCACCCCAAACATTGACATTTAAAAATTTTTCTGGTCATTTTCAGTTGTGTAAGGCGAACGCCCTACCCGCTGTGCTATGGAGCGATAGCACAGCGGGTAGGGCGTTCGCCTTACAAGCGGCCAACATGGCCGACCCGAGTTCGATTCCTCCGCCCCTCTCGGAGAGCCCGGCAAGCTACCGAGAGTATTCGATATGCCAGACACAGTAACAACAAAGTCTCCAATGGAGACGTTACTGGGCCCGCTCGAGCAAATCGACGATCAACGGGAGGGCCTTTACCTTACCTTTTACCTATTTTCAGTTGTATTTAGTCTTTTCTTCTAAATAAGTATGGTTATATAAGTATTTTTAAGCACACAAGAGCTTATTTTAATTATTAATTTTAATTATAACTTTTAGAATCATCTAGTTAACACTCACACAGTTTACTCAGGCAGATACACATAATTCTCTGCTGAATTTCTTATTTGTTATTGGCATTGTGGTAACTCTATGAAGTAATTTGGAGGAGTATTTCATAATGCTTTACTGAATCATCCAAATCAGGAATTTATTTCATGCCTTCATTTACTTAGGATTTATTTAGTTTGTATGCTGCTTTTTAACTTTTAGAGTTGAAGTGTTTTAACTTTTAAAAAAATATTCATAGGTGTTGGTATTTTTAATTATTTTCAATGGTAACTGTGAAACTACTCTTTTCAAGTATTTCTGTTATTCTTATTGATATTGTCTACTTGATTACTTGATCACTTGACATCCTGTTACTCATCGATTTGCTCGATTGGGTGCCAGTAACGTCTCCATTCATACCTGTCACGTGCTAGTTTAGCCCAGTGGTGTCTGGTCGCTCCAGGAACACAAAGAGTCTCAAACCAAACATTCAAGGTCTTGACGAAGAAGTCTGACCATTTGGTAGGTGGGCAGTCACGTGATATTTTGACATCCTGTGGAATCCGGTTGGTAATGGCTCTAGTCCAGCGATCATCTCCAAATCACATTACGTGTCCAGTCCATCTGATTTTCGATGCCTTGGTAAACGAGACAGTGTCCCTGATTCTTGATCATCGATGGAGGTCAGAACTCCAGATTATTTCTCTCACTTGAGTGAAGCATGATACTCCAAGCATAGCTCTTTCGCTTCCTCTTTTGGAGACCGAATAGCATTCTCATCCTGTTTTCATAGGGCCCAGTCTCTGAGGAGTATGTTAATGCAGGAAGAACAGTGGTATTGTAGAGATGTGCCCGGACCCAGAGGTTCTTCGTCCTCTTAGCTATTTCTTTGACGGTCTTGAAGGCATTCCAAGCCACTCTCTTCCTCCTGCACAACTCAGGTGCCAGGTCATTCATCATGTTGACTTCTTAAACTAGGTACACTTAACTGTTGCATTCAAAGATGTTCATTCCGTTGAGAGCGAATGGAGTGTCAGGAATGAGACCGTTTCTCATAAACATTCTCTTTGTGAGATTCAGCTGTACTCCGACCTTTCCACACTCACAGTCGAAGTCGGCCAGCATTTGTACCACTTGGCTAATGTTTGGTGTTATTAGAACCATGTTGTCAGCGAAGCAGAGGTGGTGTAGTTGTCGACTGTCTATCTTCACTCCTATTCCTTCCCAGTCCAGTTGTCACATGAGGTTCTCGAGGGTGGCACTGAAGAGTTTCGGTGAAATGGTATCACCCCACCGAACCCCTCTCTTGACATGGATGATCATTTCCTTGTAGAATGGTGAGATCCTGGTAGTGAATCTGTAACACAGCTCATGGAGGATCCTGATGTATTGTATTGTCTACAATTTATCTATTTCGATATAAAATTAACATTTATTATACCAGAAGAGATAGCTCAACAAGCTGAGAATATGGCGCATTCAGGAAACAAGGCTTTCTACTCTGTACTGTAGGTTCTCTGAGCACTCCAGTAGAGTCCTATGAGAACTAAGCCTAATGTGGCCCCTGAGAACCACTGGTTGTGCCACAAAAATAATTTTAAAATTATTATGGATCTTCTTTTCCTCAGTTTGTGGGGTGAGAGAGAGAAAGAGAGAGAGAGACAGAGAGAGACAGACAGACAGACAGACAGATAAACGAACACAGGCAGGAGAAAGAAAGCACAAGTGAGAGGCAAAGAAAAAGAAAAATACTGTCCTTTTACATGTGTATGACTGAGTAATTCTTTACAATGCTAATACAATTGGATTTATTAAGTTCATTATTGTTGATCCTTTTTAAAAAATTTTTTTTTAATTTTTATTACTGTTGATCCTTTTTTCCCTATTCTCTTTAAGCATTTATATAATTTTGGAGTTTCTTGCTTAGAATTGAATTCAATTGTTAGCTTCCTATGTTTTATCTTTTTCATCTTTTTAAATTTTTTCCTCCCTCTCCTTTTCCTTTTTTCTTCTATCTTTTATATCTTTTTATCTTCTTTCTGTTATGTCTTTATAAGTTGGTAAATAAGGAAATAATTTACCTAAACATACATGGATGGGCTTACAGAATCTCTCATCTTACTAATTTTGTAAGCTATCCTTTTTATACTTTTGGAGTGATAGCACAGCGGTAGGGCGTTTGCCTTGCATGCAGCCAATATGGCCGACCCGAGTTCGATTCCTCCGCCCCTCTCGGAGAGCCTGGCAAGATACCGAGAGTATCTCACCTGCACGGCAAAGCCTGGCAAACTGCCCGTGACGTATCCGATATGCCAAACACAGTAACAACAAAGTCTCATGATGGAGACGTTACTGGGCCCGCTCGAGCAAATTGATGAACAATGGGAGAACCGTGACCGTGACATTTTCTCCATATATTAAAACAATTTTTATGAGATTTATTTTTTTCACATCTTTAAATGTACTTATAGGATTAGTAATAAAGTCACCTCTTCATTCCTATTTGACTTCTCATTTCACCCCCTCAATTATAAAACTATAATTCTCACCAGTTGTTTCTTTCTTATAAGTAACATTTGTCTTTATTTTAAAGTATGATGTCTTTTAAAATACATTTTTAGAGGGCTTAGGAATGTAGTTCAACAGTAGATTGTTTTCTTTGCATGTATGACACCTTGAGTTCAACCCCTAGCTGTATCAGAAAAAATGTAAAAAAAATAAAACCAATATCTGTTATTTGCATAATTTTTCTCATGTTTTAATTTTTTAAATTCTAAAGAGCATAATTAAGTAACATTAGTTTCAGTCTTTTATAACTAATTATAATGATTTTAAACTAAAATCTCTGTGGTGCATATCAAATATTTTTACTTTTAGAGATCAAATAGAAAAGTAGACAAAATATATAATGAAATTAGGTCAGGAAAGATACACATGAAATGGTAAGAGATCATTTGTGGAGTATGAAAATGCATGATAGAATTTCCTAGTAGGTAATCAGAAGTACTTTCTTGTGCATGATTAATATAGAAAATATAATTTACTTTTTATCATCGATTATTCATTCTACTGCGTTCATTTTAACTAAAGAAAAAAATTTTGCTATCTATAGTAAGTTAAAAATGCTATTATGTTTTAAGCCCAATGAAGTACATAATTACTCAAAGATGTAACACATTCTGCAAAACATAAAACAAGGTACAAAGAGAGTGTACAGTCAATGAGAGATTTCATTCTTTAAACCTGATTTTCCCCTTCCTTTGTATAGCTTATATTTTATGTCAAAGGATTTTTTGTCACAGGATTTTTATGAAAGAGAATGTGGTGAGTATCTGAAAACAGAATAGTGTTAAAAGAAATTTTAAATCATTTAAAATGATTTTGCTACCAGTTTTACTACCAATTATGCTTTCTACCTTGAGAATATATATTATGTATATATTAACTCTGGTTGAGGACTTAATGATATGAGCTTATAGTAAAATTCTTAAAATCCATATCATCAAGCAATAGTAGGTAAATATCAGAACTAATTCCTACACATAAACCAGAATAAAAAGAAAGTTTATTACATGATATTCAGACTGTGAAAATTGTTGCAAAGTAAAACAAAGTAAAAACAGAGGAACAACAAAAGACATGACTTTTTCTTAGATGAAAAAAGCAGAACTAAAGAACCAAACTAAACTAAACTAAACTAAAGCAGAACTCAAGGAACCATATATCAGAATTTGAACCTAGGACTCCCATCTGCAAAGCATGCACACCATACCTTTGAACTATATTACAGTCCAACGTTTCTTGTATAGTAGCCAAAATATAAGAATAAAGACAATGTTTTTGGTTAGAGAACAGTGAATGTTACTTCAACAGGAATCTATTAATTTCTCTTACAGAATAGTTTCTCCTAGTGAACAGTTTCAATTTCAGTTATTGTTACTCTTTTTTCTCTTTGTTATAACTTTGCTGGGCACAAATATTGTTGACTAAGGTTGTGTATAACTTCTCTCTTCTCTTGTTAAATACATCCTTAACTGGCTACCTAACTACATACTTTACTTAGAGTACAAATCTATATTTTTATTTCGTTGATTTCACAGTGCTGTATTCTAGAACTGAAAATAGATTTATATCTTTACTTGACATCTGAACATAAATACATATACCTTAATTCAATAGTCAGCTCCTTTTAGAGTACTTTGAATATTTGATATGATTTAGTTATTTTCTTCAGCTCATGCATAGAATTTTTATACATTTTTGATGATAGTTCTCTATTTTTTTTACTTTATTTGTATATCATGCCACTAAACTACCTTAATGTTTCTTATGTAACTTTGTCTAACCACCACTTAGAAAAATTCCTAGTATTTCTCCATAAAATGTTGACTGGAAGAACAAAATGAGGAAAGCAAAACTTATATTTTTTTAATCATGTCAGTGCATGCTCATACTGGTTACTCTCTTTGGAAACAGTTTGAGGAAAGCTTTACGAATTTGTTTGGTCTTCACACTATATATGATGGGGTTCATCACTGGAGGAATTAAGAAATGGATATTGGACATCAGTGTATGGACATATGGAGGAGCATTATGGGCAAACCGATGCACCAAAGCCAATATGACCCAGGGTGTGTAGAAAATTGCAACAGCACCAATATGAGAAATGCAGGTGCTAAATGCCTTAGATCTCTCTTCAGGAGAGGCAATGCTGAGAATAGACTTGATAATCAGCACATATGAAAGGAAAATGCAGGGAATGTCTATACCTGATGTCAGAATGAGGGCAACTAAGCCACAGATGCTGTTCACCTTGACACTTGAGCAAGAACACTTAAGCACATCAGGATGGTAGCAGTAGGAGTGAGAAAGAACATTAGGCCCACAGAAGGACAGCCGCTTAAGAAGTAGGAGCAAGGGCATCAAGTTGACCAACATTCGGACATAAATCACCACACCAGCTTTGATGATTCTAGAGTTAGTTAGAATCATAGCATATCTTAGAGGGTTGCAGATGGCAACAAAGCGGTCAAAAGCCATGGCCAAAAGCACAGAGGATTCGATGAGGGTGAATCCATGCAGAAAGAACATTTGAAGAATGCAGCCATCTAGACTGATAATCCTAGCGTTGAACCAGAGTACACCCAGAGTTGTGGGGAGAGAAGAAATCGTGATGCCCATATCGGTGGCAGAGAGCATGGAGAGGAAATAGTACATGGGCTCATGGAGACTTGAGTCTGTGACCACCACATACAAAATAGTACTGTTGCCTAATAGGGAGGCAACACATAGGCAGCAAAAAGGGATCGAAAACCAAATGTGAAAAGCTTCTAGTCCTGGAACTCCAGTTAGGAAGAAAGTTGCAGGAGTAAAGTTTCCAGTGGATAGCATGACGGGCTGCTGAGTATGCCTCTCCCTTTCAGTAAATTCCTGCAATGACACATTTTATTCAGTGACAGTTACTCTTTGTCAAGCAATTTGAATTGATTTACTTATTATTTATCGTATCATCCTTACAGTTATTTTAGAGGTGGCTATTTTTAAAACATGTTAAGGTATGATAAAATTGCAGTTATATATTTATAAATGCTCAACCACATTCAACAAATAACACTATAATACAAATGACTAAAATAAATATATTTAGAACTGGTTTAATTTCTCAATATTTAATCTGTCCCCAGACTGACAAGTCTATTCCTCCTCTCCACATTCAACAAATAACACTATAATAAAATGATTAAAATAAATATATTTAGAACAGGTTTAATTTCTCAATATTTAATCTGTCCCCAGACTGACAAGTCTATTCCTCCTCTCCTGCATGAAATGTTTTGTTGTTCTAACAGTTAAGCAAAGTAACATGATGAATGAGCATGGTCTTTCTCAGGTCAAGGCAGAGGTAAAAATAAAATTAAGTGCTCAAAAATTAAGGTCAATTATACTCTAAAGAGTGTGCAGAGGTTAACACACAAGTCTTGAATGTGATGGACTCTGATTCTATTGCTGGTACCACATGATTCCCTGATTACTACTCGGTGTGGCCCTGGAGAAAACCTTGCTCTTCTGGGGTGGCTTGGACAATCCCTGACAGTGCAACATCTGAGCAACCCTGGGTCTCCTAGGCACTGCTTTGGGAGCTCTTCATGCTAAACCCAGCAAAGCAAAATAACATCAATAGCAACAATAATAACACTAAAAACTGGCAAGTAAGTCAATGTCTGTTTATTTAAAAAAGTGTATGGATCATGGCTCTGTCACTCTTCCACGCAAAAGACCTTTTGCACAAAAGATCCTCTAACACAAAAGGCCTTTAGCACAAAAGATCTTTGAAGCACATGGTTTAAAATAAAACAGGGATTTGGTTTGATCTTCAGAATGTGTGTATGTTGCTGAAAATCAAAAATTAGGCCTCACACATTCAAGGCAACTACTCTACAGTTTAGCCATATCCCAGGTGTCTTCAGTTTTATGTTTGAGACCTACTTCAGTAAAAACCCATCCCAAGTATACCATTTTTTAAAATTTTACTGAATCACCGTGAGAAAGTTACAAGCTTTTATGTTTGGGTTACAATCACACAATGATGAAACACCCATCATTCCACCAGTGCACATTCCCCACCACCAATCTCCCTAGTATAACCCCCTGCCCTATTCTTCCCCGCCTCCATGGCAGACAATATTCTCCATACTCTCTCTATAATTTTGGGCATTATGGTTTACAATAGAGACACTGAGAGGTCATCATGTTTAGTCCATTATTTACTTTCGACACACATCTCCCATCCCAGTTGATTCCTCCAGTCATCATTTTCTTAGTGATCCCTTCTGTATTCCATCTGCCTTCTCCCCTCCACTCATGAGGCAGGATTCCACCTATGGGGAAATCATCCTGGCCCTTATATCTACTGTCCTTGGGTGTTTAGCCTCACGTTATGTGATTCTACACACCAAAAATGAGTGCAGTCCTTCTATGTCTGTCCCTCTCTTTCAGACCCATATTGGATTAGAAACAGACCTGAAGACCAATGGACCAAAGTTGAATATTCTGTCACAGACCCCCAAATATATGGCCACTTAATCTTTGACAAAGGAGCAAGAAATGTGAAGTGAAACAAGGAAATCCTCTTCAACAAGTGGTGCTTAGAAAACTTGATAGCTACCTGCAAAACAATGAACGCTGACCTCTGTCTAATGCCAGGCACAAAAGTCAGATCAAAGTGGATTAAAGACCTCAATATCAGACATGAATCCATAAGGTAGAAAATGTAGGCAGAATCCTCTATGATGTTGAAGCTAAAAGTATCTTTAAGGATGAAACAGTACTGACCATGCAAGTAGAAGCAAACATAAACAAACGGGACTACATCAAACAAAGAAGCTTCTGCACTTCAAAAGAAACAATGACCAAAATACAGAAAAAGCCCACAGAATACTAAAGAGTACTTATCCAATACCAATCTGATAATGGATTAATATCCAGGATATATAAACACTAGTGGAATTGTACAAGAAAAATACCTCTAAGCCCATCAAAAAATGGGGAGAAGAAATGAACAGAAATTTACTCAAAAAATAAATACAAATGGCCAAAAGGCACATGAAAAAATGCTCCACATCGTTAGTCTTCAGGGAGATGCAAATAAAAACAACAATGAGATATCATCTCACACCACAGAGACTGGAACACATCCAAAAGAACAAAAACAAAAAAGGGACACTCTTTCACTGTTGGTGGGAATGCTGACTGGTCCAACCTTTCTGGAAAACAATATGTCCAGTCCTTCAAAAACTAGAAATTGAGCTTCCATATGACCCTGCAATACCACTTCTGGGAATATATCTGAAGGATGAAAAAAAGCACAGTATAAATGATATCTGTACCTATATGTTCATTGTAGCACTGTTCACAGTAGCCAAAATCTGGAAACAACCCAAGTGCCCTAGAATAGATGACTGGTTAAAGAAATTTTGGTGTATCTACACAATGGAATACTATGCAACTGTTAGGAGAGTTGAAGTCATAAAATTTGCTTATAAGTGGATAGACATGGAGAGTACCAAGTGCACCTTAAGGTTTCTTACATGGTATGTCTTTGCTGTTGAGGTATGAGGTATTTTTAATATTTTGAATTTCCTCAAGAGTAAAACTGATTAGAACGTTAATGCCAGTGGCTGATGATTCATCTCAGGTGAAGTCTCTGTACTGAGATAGAAGAAGTATCTTTGCACTAGTTTTAGCTGCTTCTTCCCCATCTGTTGGAAAATGCCATTTTTACCATACCTTGTTTGTTTCTGTATCACACCATACTCCTTCCTACCTGTCTGTGGAGATACATAAATATTCTTGAGATCAAGACAACATGACAATCAGAGAACATAAATATAAATTGACTAGGTGGCTTAAATGAAATTGTAGTTAAATATTATGTAAGAAATTGTCTTTTTTTCTTCTAAAATAATTGCACTCTTTAATGCAGTTATATATTGGATAAAGGCCATGGTAGAGCAAAGTAAGAAATGACCTTGTAGGAACAAAATTTCAACATTTAAACATAGTATTTATAATTTGTTTTACATTTCAATAGTTAGTAATCATTCTTAATCATTTGAAAAGATATTTGCAGCAAATTTTGATTAAATACATGACTGCGTTTCTTTTCAGTTTGGGCTTAACAAAAATTGACACTTGAAATTTCAGAAGAAATTTTGCTCTGTTTCACTTTGAGTTTTTCTTGTTGCTTGTTTTTTTCTTTTGCAGCCACAGCCAGCAACGCTCAGTTCTGACACTTGGCTTTGCACTCAGGGATCCCTCCTGGCGGGCCTAGAGGACAAATGGGATGCTGGGCATCGAATCCAGGTTAGCCACACGCAAGGGAGGAACCCTATTTACTGTAATATCTCCCTGATCCCATACTTTGAGTTACAGATTAAAGAGGTCACCAAATCTGCTCTAGAGCTGATGGCATGACTTACGTATTATTGTTTTTGTGAAAGATCTATCCTTCATGACCTCCTGTCTTCCTACAGTGCTTGGAAAGATGGCTGTCGTCTAGTTTCTGAAGGGGATTTCACTAACCTTGTGAGGAGGATGCCTTCTAAAATGGAATATTCAGACTATATGAATCAGAATATACTGACTAAGAGCAGGATAAAAAATAATTTCAGACAAATGGGACTATCAAAAACTAAAAAGCTTCTGCACCTCAAAAGAAACAGTGACCAAAATACAAAGACACTCTACAGAATGGAAAAAGATATTCGCTGAATACACATCCGACAAGGGGTTGATATCAAGGATATACAAAGTACTGGTTGAACACTACAAGAAGAAAACATCCAACCCCATCAAAAAATGGGCCAAGGAAATGAATAGAAAATTTCCCAAAGAAGAAATACGAACGGCTAAAAGACACATGAGAAAATGCTCTACATCATTAATCATCAGGGAGATGCAGATCAAAACAACAATGAGATATCCTCTCACACCACAGAGAGTGCCCCACATCCAAAAGAACAAAAGCAACCAGTGCTGGCGCGGATGTGGCAAGAAAGGGACCCTTCTTCACTACTGGTGGGAATGCTGATGGGTTCAGCCCTTTTGGAAAATAGTATGGACAATTATCCAAAAATTAGAAATTGAACTCCCATTTGATCCAGCAATACCACTCTTGGGAATATATCCCAGAGAGGCAAAAAAGTATAGTCGAAGTGACATCTGCACTTGTTTGTTCATTGCAGCACTCTTTACAATAGCCAGAATCTGGAAAAAAAACTTGAGTACCCAAGAACAGGTGACTGGTTAAAGAAACTTTGGTACATTTACACAATGGAGTACTATGTAGCTGTTAGAAAAGATGAAGTCATGAAATTTACATACAAGTGGTACTACATGGAAAGTATCATGCTAAAGCAAAATGAGTCAGAAAGGGATAGACAGAAAGATTGCATTCATCTGGGGAACATAAAGTAACAAAATAGGAGACTAACATCCAAGAATGGCCGAGATTAGTACCAGGAATTTTGATCCATGGCTTGGAGGCCAGCCACACATGCTAGGGGAAAAGGGAGCTCAGATAGAGAAAGGAGCACCAAATAAAGGGTTTTCGGAGGATCCTCCTCCCAGAATGGGAGAAGCATGCTGAAAGTCTGAAATTATTTTTTATCCTGCTCTTAGTCAGTATATTCTGATTCGTATAGTCTGAATATTCCATTTTAGAAGGCATCCTCCTCACAAGGTTAGACCAAACATGATTGCCACTCAATGCCTATTTTGCAAACCACAACACCCAAAAGGAGAGAGAGGACAAAGCCGAATGCCCTGCCACATAGGCAGGTTGGGATGGGGGGATGGGGGGTGGGAGGGATACTGGGATCCATAGTCGTGGG